TTCTCCGAAGCTGAATTCAGATCAAAGTTTGGAAACAAAATCGAAAGCGGAGGTAAATATCGGTAACATGGGCATACGAAATAAGGGTTTTATCAAAGTTGCTAACCATATACTTACCGCATATAACTCTAGAATCAAATGTAAAGGAGAAAAAGTACGAAACTCTCACTTCAAGAAAGATTGACTCTAAACACAATCATGCACCGTATATGTAATTATTGAAAACGGAAATGATCAACAGGGTTGTATTTAGGACTAAAAACACAAAACAAAATTTTAAATACTATACACTGATGAAGATTAAATAAATAAAAAAGTCATACATTTATTGAATTGTAACTGAATACGACCCTGGAATATTTCAGTAGATGAGCGACCACGTTTAGATTGGCCAATAACGACTGCCGTACTGACGTACTATTTGGTAATCACCTGGTCAAGTTTGTTTTGGTTTCATCTATCTCGAAAATGAACATAGTATAGACCAGAGCCGGGCAAACTCGGCTCTTTTGACTCCCGAGTGCTCCTCAAGGTTAACCAAGTAGCTCCTCATTGATCCTGCGAGGGCAAACTCGGCTCTTTTGACTCCCGAGTGCTCCTCAAGGTTAACCAAGTAGCTCCTCATTGATCCTGCGAGTGCGAGTGAGATGATTCTTTCTTTTCCTTATCCCTTCCATTTCGTAGGTGAGTCCCCTCTTCCATAGCTAAACCCAATAGTTTTGCGAACGTAGTAACGAAATTTTTCGTACNTACGACACATTATTAAGAAATAATATGTTCGCTATACCTTGCTAAAATAAACTGATTCGTTTGATTGATTTTATCAATTTTATTTCGTAAATTCCAGAATCTTGATAGGTACTTTTGTGTTTTATCAATGGCTATGGTTTGCTATGAATTTTATCAGGATTCAAAAATCCGTTATTGGTTATTCACCACTTCCATAAAAGACGTACCTTAATAGCAGTCATCTTTAGTTTGTTTCTACCCTAACAGTTAATTACTTTGCTTTATGGAAATAGAATTGGTCTATAGATATCCATGCGACATGCCGAATACCTGAAGCCGAATTATTTAAAGCTGAAAAATACGATACAGAATTCCCATTAAAATATTTATAGCTTCATAAAATTAAATTTGGACCCAAGGGTTGGCGTTGAATTTTCACGTTTTTATTTTTATCACGCAAATAAAGCCATAAAAACGACAGGCCAGCCAGAGAATTGAGAGAAAATAATTTCCACCTCTTCGTAGGTCGTGAGTTAAATCACAATACAAAACCGTTTAACTTGAAAGCCTTTTGCCCCTGCTTAATCTGTTATTATTTTTTTTTAATTTTTAATTTAATGTTGATACAGAACCGTCGATTTTTCGCATTGAAGTAGGTACTACAGCTTCATCATCACGATTTCAGGACAAAACTTACAAAACGTGATATTGTCATATGACATACGTGATCTGTGAACAAGAAGTCATTTTAGTAAAAATGGACGATCACCCAAACGCACACAAAAAAGACATATACATGTGTAGATATAAATAAAAGACTTTGAGCAATGCCGTTTAATAAAGAAGAAAACTTTATCTTGATTCTAAAAGTTAATAGGTGCAGTGTACTATTAATTAAAGTAACGTTTAAATGGGGAGATGTTCAAGGAATCGTAGGGCAACATAAAATAAGGAAGACTGATACTCGATAGGAAAAAGACGCTAATCCAATCTTGGTGATGATTGAACAGAATTAACAGACTGAAGTGAGTTGAATACGTGAGTCAGATGAAAGGAGAGAGAAAATTTAAAAAAATATGAAAAGCATGTATAACGAATACGTGAACAGAATAATGAAAGAAGTCCAAGAGATTTGTACAATGCTACTACTAAATTATTTCCACCTTTTCGTAGGTCGTGAGTTAAATCACAATACAAAACCGTTTAACTTGAAAGCCTTTTACCCCTGCTTAATCTTTTTTAATTTTTAATTTAATTTTGATACACAGCCGTCGATTTTTCGCATTGAAGTAGGTACTACAGCTTCTTCATCACGATTTCAGAACAAAACTTACAAAACACGATATTGTCATATGACATACGTGATCCGTTAACAAAAAGTAATTTTGGTAAAAAAGGGAGATCACCCAAACGCACACAAAAACGATATATACATGTGTATATATAAATAAACGTCCTTGAGCAATTCCGTTTAATAAAGAAGAAAACTTTATTTTGATTCTAAATGTTAATAGGTACAGTGTTCGTACTATTAATTAAAGTAATGTGTAAATGGGAAGATGTTCAAGGAATCATACGCCAACATAAAATATAGAAGACTGATAGTCGATAGGAATAAGACGCTAATCCAATCTTGGTGATGATTGAACAGAAATAACCAACTGAAGTGAGTTGAATACGTGAGTCAGATGAAAGGAGAGAGAAAATTTAGAAAAATATGGAAAGCATGTATAATTAAGAAGGAAAGAATAAGTAAAAGACAACGAATGCGTGAACAGAATAATGAAAGAAGTCCAAGAGATATGTACGATGCTACTACTACTATAAATTATAACGTTACACAAAACTGAAAAAATGACTTTTCTCTCCAATTGGTACCTACTGTAACTTATGAATAACAGAAAATTCAAAAAATGTGTTTTATGTAAATGGAAGCCATATTTCTGCCAGCATTTTGCGGCTCCATATAACAGAGAATCGACATTCGCTATAAAGTGGTCCATTCGAAGAACATTTTGTTACACGATTTCTCCATCAAACCTAAATATGTACATGTTTGCGAAATAAATAGAATGCAATTGCTGAATTCACAAATTTAAGTGTAGGACCCCCCATAGACATTACAAAGTTGCTGTTAGCTTAGTCAACTGATTCAATTTTTTCATAGGGAATTCAGTTTCTAAAATAAGTAACATCAACAATTACACAATCACCTACTTCAATTGAGGCCTAATTTAACTGGCTGCACCGTTTCTTTGCAATTGAGGGTAATACTTATTCAAAATTAAGTATATATATAAAGTTCCATCAATAAATTTTTGAAAGCAACCACGTGTCCTTTTCGTTTTTGGTCCATCGAGCCGGACATAATACAATGACTATTTAGAATTATTACGTACATGTATATTTATTTTCGAAAACATTAGATAGATCTTTTCCAAAAGATTTTTGTAATCAATTTGATGGTAGATACCGATTCTTTCACGAACCGACGTAAAGTCAAAGCTAAGGATCAAAAATATTAAAAGCTAAATTAATATTTCAATTAGTTCCTCTCCCGTGAACTTATATAAAAAGTGTTTCATTTCCAGCAACCCGACAGCTTTGGAAAAAGACTTTAACTACTGAAACATAATTACATGTACCGGAGCAAATCTTATGCAGAACTTTCTTTTATAAGAAAACTTCTTAAGCTTGGAGAAAATTCAAGTTGAACTTCACCACTTCGGATCTTGTCTTCTGAAAACTTCTCATTTCTTCGAGACAACAAGAGAGGAAATTATTAAATGGGACACAAAACCCAGACATTGCTGAAATAGGTATTCAAGAAGACGAGTTTGCAGGGAAGACAAAAATTTCTCATAATCATTAAAACAAAAGGATACACGTAGTTTGTTTAGACAACTAAGGACAAAATAGAACGTAAGTAATCGTTAGTAGGTACTTTTTATTTTTTATTTTATGTTGAAGTCCTTATATCTCTTATCACATCGGTTAAAGATGCATATCTAACAACTACGACGAAAGAACTTCTTCATCCTCTCGGAAAAGTTATTTGCAATAGGTATATACGTCAATCCTAAACATTACACCTATCATAGCTTTTTAATGACATGCATTTTTATATTATTGTATTTGTAATTTCTTTGTTTAATAAATCGTACCTACTATTTTTCGTTTTCTAAAGTTAATTTTGTAGGTAGATACTTTCAATCCTGTTTGAAATTTATGGTAAATCACCCCTTTCGATGCATGAATTAAAATTGACTGCTACTCCATCTTAGCATTGTAATATTTAACAAAATTTTGAATGCTGTACTTTGGAATTACGTAAAACGATATTGTTCAGTTTCATTACTAATGAGCAATTAATCAAAATTATGTGAAAGTAGTAAAAGACTGTAGGTACCTTGTTGGGGTTTTGGTACCTACTTTAATTTATAAGAAATAGGAATTTTGGATCATCCTTACCATACCTACCATTTATCCACTTTTTGCTGTTAAATGTCATCCAAAATCACCATAATTTATTATTGTTTTTCTTGCTATATTATTACTGTTCCACAAACTTTAAATATTGTGATTGACGAGGCATGCAGCGTCCTCTATACGAAATAATTCTTACCAAGTTTTAATGATTGTTTTGAAATTTTAAATAACAGATTGTTTCTATATTTCATACTTCATCCAAAACAACAGAAGTATCTTAAATGATCATTATTTTGGTTAGTTTTGCTATAACATTAAAAAGGAAACAGAAATTTCCCAGATATTTTTATTGAGATTCTTTTAGGTATGTAGCGTCATCTTCCGTGCTGTGTTGAATTCTCCATATTGATTTTAAGTAAATGAAGATATCCAAAATTTAGGAAATAGTGTAAAAGCTGTAATCGATTATAATACAGAATTATTCATTCAAATAGAATGCTATGGATGCCGCTAAAAAACACTGGAATGATAAATTAATATTGATTTGAATATATTTATAATCGGCCTAGTCCTGTCTTAAGATTTTTTATTTTTTTATTTAGTGTGTCTAGTTAGAAATATTTCTCATGAGACAACTAGATCTTAGGAATCTTCAGATTTGTTTCTCAAATAGCTCTCTTCTTTTTTCTCTGAACAGAAAATTGGAATACATATTTAATTAAACAATAATTCAAAAACTGCTTTTTATTTAAACATTATTAAATACATATGGGTAGATCCTTTTGATATTTGATAAATGAGCACCATAGTTTTATCTATTTTGTGATATAATTTCTGCATAGTTATAAATTGCAGTTTCCATAAATGAACTCGCAGTCTGAATTTCCCAGTCCGAGCAAAGAAGCTTTCAGGCTTTCCAACATAGATGTCGATCGTGGTATTTCTTTTACCAATAGTCCGGAAAGCCAGCTCATACCTAAACTGATTACCAGAAAAGATATATAGCGAAAATAGATCGATTTGTATGTTTATAAACGATAATTTTTAATTACCTCCAAACTGGAATCCAATATTTTCCATTTTCATTTAAACCTCTCGAATATTTATTATTTTCACACAAACTTCGTCTCAAGCATTCCCCATTATCACTTTCTGCCATAAGGGCTGTATCGATGGTGATCAAAACTTTTCTGGCCATTTCGTTTAAGACCGATGTTTTCATAAACCCATTAACGTTTCTCTTAAATCTGAACCTCATGCCATCTCCATCTTCAGATGTAATTATTTCCGTATCTTCATCATTGTTTTCTGTACCACCATCGTCATCATTTGTCCCAGTACCATCATCATTATCATCACCTCCTGTATTTACATCTATTCCATCATCATCACCAGCACCATTATCTCCTCCACCTTCATCTCCATCAGCGCCTCCGTCAGTTCCTGTTCCATCAGTTCCATCTCCAGTACCACCACCTCCCGTTGCCGTTCCTGTACCATCTCCACCAGTTCCTGTTCCGGGACCTGTACCATCAGTCCCAGTTGGCGTAAGCTCAAAAGTACCCTCGCCATCCATCATTCCTGCTGTTGGTCCCATGCTCATGGGCATTGCAGCCATTGTGGTTACATTTGCATAAGATCCCTGTAGCAGTAAATTACCAAATTCGTAACGAACATTACATTAAAAACTGTTCGTTTATTTTGACACAATTACTCTCCCTCTAAATTTTGCATACAACGAGACAGTCAAAAAAAGAGTTATCTCTAAATTTCTTTTTGCTAACTATCATTGAAACTAGGTGCTGCATTCATTAATATTTTAAAATATCTAATATTCAAATAAGATGATATCGACTTTGGAAGTAAATATCTCGTCATGACTGAAGGGCTAAAACCAAAGAGCATTTGATGCTAGGAAGCTCATCTAAAGGAGCCGTTCAATAGTAAAAGCTTTATGGTCCAAGTCCAAATAAATACATTTCCAAAAACATTATAATTTTTGGAGGATGGAAGATCGATCTTTGTGGGATCCTAAAAATGCATTCTTACCGCCGACATTATACACATCAAGACGTGAATTAGAAACATTCCAAAAGATAAATATGCCAAGGCTGTAAGAGCAATTTCGAATAGCTGAGTTAGTTCCTCCTTCTTCTTGTTCTTTGGATAATACTTGGGAGCATAGTGGTGTTGCTCTTCATAAGTGAAGTCTGTAGAAACGACCTCTTATTTAAATTTAACATTTCTTGTGTAATGTAATCAATAAGGTGGCATACCCTCGTATGGCGCGGGTGGTCCATAGCCATACCCTGCGTGGCTGCCATGGTCTCCATTGTAGCTGTAAGTCCCATCACCGATGTAGCCAACTTTTGCAGCCGATCCAACAGTCGGAGTAACTGTTGATTGCTCGTAATGACCGTAATCTAAAGGACCCGCGTAAGTTCCCAAACCTCCGTCATTTCTATTTTGAGTTTCTTGGGATCCGTGTTGGGAAGGATTTTCAAACTGGCGGTAAATGTCTTGGAGAGTTGCACTTCTATATATTGTAGGATACATCATAAAGATCAGTACATATTTTTAAATACATTTCAACAAAACAAGTTTCTGTCTTTACCCACCTCTTCAACCATTCTTTGTATTTAGTTGATCCTTCATCATTTAAAAACTTTTCTGTTGATGTCAACGATGATGATTCTAATAATGAATCAGTATCGTTTCCCAATTTTCGTTTGATTCGCGTCAATGTCATGCCAGACAAAATCTTTTCGGATACATAAGTTCGGCATAAATATTCGTTCATCATTTTCCTAAGAATAAAAATCTGCCTTGAAACTGTTAATTTCTTAATAATTATAACACATATCTTTCTATTTTTTATAAGTTATAAATTAAGGAAAGTTTAATTCTTTCTTTTATTAAAAAACGGATTCTTAAAGGTTGTAAATTTGGGTTTTGGAGCAAGAACTATCACCTCTGTTGGCATTTCGATATCTTCATTAAATTCTTGCGGAAAAATCTAAATTTATTCATTCCGCACACTTGAAGAATGGGTTTCCTAAGAACTATTTTACCTGTGGTAACCCATAGTTGAAATTGCTTCTTCTGCACTGCCATAATGAAAATTAATTGGATTTTCGATAGAGGTTGTATTTGTTCCTGAAATTTTTGAAATATTCTCTAGAAGTAACAGCTTCCCAGGCATGTAATTTTCGTCTAATATATCGTAAAGGTCAATAGCTTCTTCCTGGTCACATTTAACGAGTCGAAAAACAAACCAAATAACTAATAAAAATTTGAATTTGTAATGTCCTGAAATCGGTGACATTCTGCTTAAAATTCACCGACAGTTTCAATCTCTGAACGAGTAAACCAACAGATGAAATGGCGAAAGTTTGCCATTCTAAGAATAATCTTTTGTAATTTTCCGCACTCTACCCGCAAAATGATTTCACGCCATGTGACTCTGTTACAGTTAGGTACCATTGGATGCACTAAATACTGTTTGTCTTTGTAGATAAGTATGTTTACCTTAAAAGAAATAACTGTCATTTGAACAATTTTGTGTTTTCACATTCGGTTCATCTAACGAGATGAGATAATCAATGATAATTAACAAATGACGTTTTGAACGAAAGAACTGTGAATTTTGGGATGCAGTTGTATCTTAAAGGCGATTATCCTTCATGCATAAAACAGTTTATCACAATACATGATTTTTGGAATTCAATGGATTAATTTCCAAATATATGAAGACCAGATGATGCTCACGGTCCATTGGTTGAGTAGTCACTCTTCTAAAACGATCACCTTGTATATTTGCCTCCGTCGCATTTCCTAAATAGGCGATAATGATGTTGATCAACGTTCAAAGTTCTTCCCATTTCCAGGACCGAGTTGTCATTGGTCGTTTCAAGACGCAGAATCGTATAGTTTTTCGTTGCGCCTCTCCTCCCGTCACCTCAACGATCTAACACCACTTTTATAAACCATTCGCTGTTTTACAGTATTGTCGCTGTAATAAATGATCCCTTATATTCGCCCATACCATAATATGGCAGCTGTAAATGGGTTATATTTTCCGAGAGCCGAATGAATGTCAAGACTACATCGTCACTGTTAATCTTGTATTCTTTCGGGCAAGCTGCTTTTAAGATATGAGTGGGTTGAAAGAGAAGCAAGTTTGCACTTAAAATGAATCGTTCGAATACGTACAAAAAGGAGGACGTCATAGCATTCCGCGAAAATTGAGGATCCGTTCTCTTATCAGTTTTCATTATGGCATTTTTCAGTCTGGGACATTTAAACTTAAAAGTTTTTTTAATTTTCTTCATTATTTTAAAATTTCACGTCAGACTATTGAGATGTATTGCATGAGAGCATGGAATCTGAGGGTTAAGATGTGAACTATTCTTAGTAGGCATCCATTAGTGTATTGACACGTAACAATGTTAAACACATTGAGTTTCTTTAATTAAAATTTAATAGTGGAAGTAGATAAACATCCAGCGTACACTAGGAGGTAAATGAACATGCTAATTGCTTTGCGATGATCCAGATTGTAAAGATTTTCTACATGAAGGTGTCTTGTTGGTGTGGTTTTAGAGAAGGACTAGCTAACCGCTTTGTTAATATTTCTTCAAAGTCCTGCAGCTTGATTTTACAATGAACTGCGTATTTTCGTGAATATCAAAATTTTGGGGTTAAAACCATGAATATTGGAGTTAAAAGTTTATCCGTTGCAGAAAAGCTTTACATGAACATATTGTATCTTTTGATATAGGTACATTTCTACATCATAAGAACATTTTCCATCAATTTAATGGAGATTTGTCTCAAATCTAATGTCTGGATGCAGTATGATGCAGAGATTACTAAATCATCAACACTCTCTGCTACGTTTTTTCACAGTTTGAGTCATATTTTCCCTTTTGAGAATTAATTATCCTTTTCTAAAATTCCCATGGCTATGCTCCACAAATGCCAAAATGAAATGTACCTATCGCTGTTTGCTAATCATAGAAACAATTTCCTCTGGTCATCAAATTTAAGAATCCACTTATAGCAATCTTCAAATCCACCATAAGCATAACATCGAACGTCTCTTTAATGACTTCCACCAACCAGCTTTTGATTTGATTTAGGTTTTTATATAGTTACCTAATTATCAAGCAATCGCTGAACGTTTTTCATCTTCAGTTTCACTGCGATTTCCGTGCTTTTAATCTAATGTACACAAAATCTTTAAAAGGCGTTCTAAAAAGTTGACGTTATACTTAAGAGAATGCGAACGGGAGCGTCAAACGCACCTGTTAAAATCTCGAAGTGGCATATACACACTCACACACACACACACACACACCAATACAAAATAATACCACCACCGTCATCGGAAGCAGCCGCAGCCACCTAAAGCGTTTTCGACCACATCATAACTCTCAATGGCAAACAAATAAATCACGTTTGAAAAGCTCTCATGGCCGCTGTGAAAAAGCACTTATGGCCATAGAACGCTTTCATGAAACCTCCTGTTTACGCCAATGTTCTTTCAAAGTATCTAGACGATCGCGATCTTTTGAAAAATATATATTTAACCGTGGTTATGTAAGTAATAGTTACCAAAAAGTAAAACAAAAAGTTGCGCTGACATTTAGCAACTTAAATTTTATATCATCATCTTCTTAAAGTCGTCAATCTGAGGACTGGCTGGACACGCATCTTTTCCTATCCTGATCTAATTTTCCTAAAACTGGAACGTCCCATATCCTTAATTATTTACGAACAGCAATATAATCTAGGTCTACCCCTACTTCCCTTAACTCCTATTTCCTCTTTTAATATGTCTATGACTAGCCCTTCATGTTTGAGAAGATGTCCTACCAACCTATCTCACCTATTTCTTATTGACTTCCATAGTGACCCCTGTTCCCCAACCCTTTTTATTACCTCGTCAATTCTAACCTTCTCTAATCACAGCATCCTCAGAGCCATACTCAACGTTATCAACAATAAGAGATTCCAGTTACCGCAAAAGAATCAACTGAAGTCATAAAAAACCTCAGAAAATGTGGAAAGGGAGCAGTAACGGCAATTGAATCAGATTAAAAATGTCTTCAGTTAAGGTACTTACTGAGACATCCATTATCAGAAAATGGAAACTTTTTTCATTTCCTTTCCACTAAAGTAAATATAATTTTAATTTTATATCATCATCATTTTAAGGTCGTCAATCCGAAGACTGGCTGGACACGCATCTTTACCCATCCTGAGCTTTGAATTTTCCTAAAACTGGAACGTCCCATATCCCTCACTATTTACGAACAGTAATCTAATCTAGGTCTGTCCCTACTTCCCTTAACTCCTATTTCCTCTTCTAATATGTCTCCGACTAGCCCTTCATGTCTGAGAAGATGTCCTGCCAACCTATCTCACCTATTTCTTATTGACTTCCATAGTGACCCCTGTTCCCCAACCCTTTTTAATACCTCGTCATTTCTAACCTTCTCTATCCATAACATCCTCAGAGTCATACTATCAACGTTATCAACAATAAGAGATTCCAGTTACCGCAACAGAATCAACTGAAGTCGGAAAAAACTTCAGAAAATGTGGAAAGGGAGCTGTAACGGCAATTGAATCAGATTAAAAATGTCTTCAGTTAAGGTACTTACTGAGACATCCATTATCAGAAAATGGAAACTTTTTTCATTTCCTTTCCACTAAAGTAAATATAATTTTAATTTTATATCATCATCATTTTAAGGTCGTCAATCCGAAGACTGGCTGGACACGCATCTTTACCCATCCTGAGCTTTGAATTTTCCTAAAACTGGAACGTCCCATATCCCTCACTATTTACGAACAGTAATCTAATCTAGGTCTGTCCCTACTTCCCTTAACTCCTATTTCCTCTTCTAATATGTCTCCGACTAGCCCTTCATGTCTGAGAAGATGTCCTGCCAACCTATCTCACCTATTTCTTATTGACTTCCATAGTGACCCCTGTTCCCCAACCCTTTTTAATACCTCGTCATTTCTAACCTTCTCTATCCATAACATCCTCAGAGTCATACTATCAACGTTATCAACAATAAGAGATTCCAGTTACCGCAACAGAATCAACTGAAGTCGGAAAAAACTTCAGAAAATGTGGAAAGGGAGCTGTAACGGCAATTGAATCAGATTAAAAATGTCTTCAGTTAAGGTACTTACTGAGACATCCATTATCAGGAAATGGAAACTTTTTTCATTTCCTTTCCACTAAAGTAAATATAATTTTAATTTTATATCATCATCATCTTAAGGTCGTCAATCCGAAGACTGGCTGGACACGCATCTTTACCCATCCTGAGCTTTGAATTTTCCTAAATCTGGAACGTCCCATATCCTTCACTATTTACGAACAGTAATCTAATCTAGGTCTAATCCTACTTCCCTTAACTCCTATTTCCTCTTCTAATATGTCTCTGACTAGCCCTTCATGTCTGAGAAGATGTCCTACCAACCTATCTCACCTGTTTCTTATTGACTTCCATAGTGACCCCTGTTCCCCAACCCTTTTTAATACCTCGTCAATTCTAACCTTCTCTAACCACAGCATCCTCAGAGTCATACTATCAACGTTATCAACAATAAGAGATTCCAGTTACCGTAACGGAATCAACTGAAGTCGGAAAAAACCTCAGAAAATGTGGAAAGGGAGCAGTAACGGCAATTGAATCAGATTAAAAATGTCTTCAATTAAAGTACTTACTGAGACATCCATTATCAGAAAATGGAAACTTTTTTCATTTCCTTTCCACCAAAGTAAATATAATTTTAATTTTATATCTGTTAGTTGTCGAGAAACACTAACTGACCAGTTAGTATTTGTTGTGGAAAACTATCAACAGGGTTACATTTCGTTCGTCATTGTTAAGAAACGTTTTATGGTCCACGGTTACCTGTCATAATTCTCCCACACTACTCATCCCACACCACACCGTGATGCTCTCGGAAACAAGTCTCCACGTTCCACGCTCGTCGGGATATAACCCCATTTACACCCATTGTGCAAGTTATTTAATGCTCGTCGGCTAATAGGGTTTGCCAAATGGGGGAAATAGATGTTGTTAAGTAGTCCCTATCGTTTTGAGAACGCGAATGCCGCATCGCACGCTATTGTCTCCGCGACGCTTCAACTGATGGATCTTGTTAACGATTATAAATTGATGTTTAACCGTGAATTATCTGCTTTCTTCGGGCTACTTCTGTTCTCTTCTCCTTTTCAAATTAGATTATCTATTACATTGAAAGAATTTTCCGGGAAAATTGTGTTCTTTTCAAATCGTTTCAAATAGGACTCAAGAACTTGATGTATACTTATGGTTAAAAATTTTTTGTAATTCAATGCAAGAAACGTATTTTATATAAAATGACCTTGGTGACATACAAAGCTCAACTGCTTAATACTGGGTGACTAAAATATTATGTGCTTGTTTGTGATGACGAACATTTTTATTCGTTCGAACAAGTAAAATTTAGCAACAATAAGGTATTTACATCTTTCTTGGTCTTTTTAATGTAGAATTCTTACGAAGGGACAACTAAAAAGATTTTAATTTGAATGCCAAAGTATCAATTTTTGGAAAGGATATCTACTTTTAGAAATCCTTTCTTATGACGCCATCGGTAGCATATATCAGATAAAAGCAATTTCTGTTCTTTGGCATTGGTTCAATTTTGAAATGAAAAGTACTCTATATATTAGAGGCACAAATTAATAAAAGACATCAGCTATAATAGAAGAAAGGCGCTTTTATTTATTGTTAAGCTGCTTTGTCTGAATTCATTTCCCGTAAAATCATGTGCTGATTTTGATATCGAAAGTGAAAATTTTTTCATTGATATTTATAATAGGTTTTTACTAAGTAAGTATTTGGTGGAGTTTTCTCGAATTCTTATAGGTACAAAGTAATTAATCGCAATAAAATATCATTTCATTTTTTAATTTCCTTGAATTAGAACCATAATGTAATGCTTCCATTTGTCCTGGCTGATTCATCAATTTCTCGAGCTAATCAATCAAATAACAGATAGCGCACATTAAGCGTCTGATTATGTCTGAAAATAAATCACGGAAGGAGAATAAAATTTTAGAAGTTCGTATTAAAGGAAGTATTAAGGTGTGAAGATGAGATTGGGGGTAGTTTGAAACACGCGAAATCCCAATCTGCGATAGAAGCTGCGGCCGCATGGAGGGAAGAAAGGTGTGTGTATTAGGGGGAGGGACCAACAAGGTGTTAGTTTATTCAGTAAAGAATCCAATGGACCGCATGAACCGCGCAACCATCAGCATGTTTTAACTTGTGAGTGTTTTATAAATTAGTCGTTTCAAATCCATCTTGACCGCGTCTTCATCATTCAATGCTTCCTGACTTGTCAAATAAGGGACACGATGGAATTTGTAGAAAATCCAACAAGGAAAGCTGACTCTGAATGCTCAGACCAGGACGCGGATGACAATTCATCCTTGGACATTATAAACGATTCCCCGGGAAGGTCGTCCGCCGCTGACGAAGAAATTTATTCGAGTAACGGTATTGTGGGTGATAACAAATTTTCGATCGATAGCATTTTGGGTATAAGGGACAGTCAGAGTGATGATTGTACAAAAAGACGGTCAGAATGTGGAAGTGCTAACAATGAAGTGAACGAACAGAAAGGGAAATTTGTGAAACCTTCGGCGTTTTCAGCAACCCTTAAGTCAGGTATGGAATCGTCGGTTTGATATGCCAATAAGTGATTCCTTTGATGTTTCAATTAATTTTTGAAAGGATGTACCTAATAACAACTGGCAAATTGAAATAATTGAAATATTTTGTAGCTGCATCTTCCTCAAATAATAGTCAACTACTTTACTGATCAAATCCAATTATTGTGAAAGAATTGAATTGTAATCAAACGACGGGTAGAACTTGTGCAATGGATATTAAATGAAATTTCATTACATTCTAACTAGTTATCCATTGTTAATAAGCAAAAATTCACAGAAGTATTACAATAAAAATTTAAATAACAACCATAACGGAAATAGAATTCTCAAAGTCCAGTGATTTTGATAACAACAGATTCCACAATTTCAGTATTTTAGAATGATCTAGTTTTCGGAGTTTGGGTGTTCAACTATAGGTAGGTTTCTTGGATTTTCCGGAGACAACCCCATTTTGAACTAATCTTCTAGCTACTGAATTTTTGATTTCTCTTAAATGATGAGTACAAAACATTAAATAAACGAATTAATTTATTTCTCTTTTGGGTATCCATTTTCAATAAACATTTTTAAATATGCTGCATCAATAAATAATCAAATAGAATAAATAGTAATCAACGCTTTGACATATTCCCGCATCATCACAATGAATGTCCTATGTGACTCTCCTGATAATTTTTAAATATGACTCACTCAAGCAGAAAAACACAAGTGACCGTATATTTAATGTTTCCCTTTTCTGACTCCCATATGGGCGCTGATGGGATTACTCGCTTCTTTCAAAGATGATCTGTTATGTTTGCTTCACAAGATCCTTATGAAAACCTCATCAGGCATATCCACCTCCTTCAGTATCACCGATATTGTTTGTTAGGGTCCTCCTGAAGAATCTATGGAGAAATCTCTATCGAAATGCCCCCACCCCCATTTGTCACATGAAGCATGTCCCCTATATATTTCATTAGGATATTTGGTGGTCTAAAATTATTTGTAATGTCAGGATGCCTGTTAACATTTAAAATTGTAGTAAATTCTGAGCTACACTGTATTGGTTTCTATTAAACTGGTTTACTTTCAAAGTTTCCACATTAGTGTATTTTGATAGGTCTTTATTAGAGAGGAACCTAAGGATTTCTGCAAAATATAAAATATTACATCCTCATTATCATCATAGGGTCATCATTCATTCCTATCCTGAGTCAATTTTTGCATTTCTCTAAGACTGGAATATCCCACATTCCGAACAGTAATGTAGTCCAAATTTACCTTTTCTTTCTATCAAAATGCGTCCTCTCCCATTTGTCCCCTATAAAGTCCATTAGGATGTTTGGTGGTCTAAAATTATTTGCAATGTCAGGATGCCTGTTAATGTTTAAAATTGTAGTAAATTCTGAGCTACACTGTATTGGTTTCTATTAAACTGGTTTACTTTCAAAGTTTCCACATTAGTGTATTTTGATAGGTCTTTATTAGAGAGGAACCTAAGGATTTATGCAAAACATAAAATATTACATCCTCATTATCATCATAGGGTCATCATTCATTCCTATCCTGAGTCAATTTTTGCATTTCTCTAAGACTGGAATATCCCACATTCCGAACAGTAATGTAATCCAAATCTACCTTTTCTTTCTATCGAAATGCCTGCTCCCCCATTTGTCCCCTATAAAGTCCATTAGGACATTTGGTAGTCTAAAATTATTTATAATATCTGGATACTTATTAATAATGTTTAGAATTGTAGTAACGAGTTGTGTTATTTGACTTCTGATCAGTGTAAATTCCTTTCAAGATTTTTCTTTTAAAAAGTGGCTATCTATTACTGCATTACATATGCCTTCTAATAAGTATTTGAATTCCTTTTAGTTTCTGTTGTATTACTGCAGGCTCTTTGTATCACACTATACTGGACCTGCCTCATCTCGCTAGCTCAAATTATGCGTCTTCAGAGGCAACAATTTTAAGGAACTTTGGGGATGCCTTATCAGCTAATATAGTGGCTTCGTCTGCGGATGTCTTTAGGGGACAAATTCCTCAGGAAATGCCCTTTGGAAGCACTCCTAACACGGTGTTTTATGGAAATTGGCTCGGAAATATTCATGACCATAAGGCTTCTAGTCATTTGTTTGGAGTTCAAAGTAAGTGATTATTATTGACTATTACCTACAAATTTGAACGGATGGTATCGTTGTCGATGATATATTTATATTTTAACCACGGTGTTGCTTCGTGTCGTAACCTACCTAATGATTCCGTCGGCCAGCATTTAGTCATATCCATCGCCATCGATGCGGTGTTTTCTTTCGGGATTTTTGGCCGTGGTCCGTGGAATTTTACTTTTCCAAACGTTTCGGGGGTAACTGATCAGTTACGACTCAGCACCTCCCCAATCACCACTGAAGATGCCGTCAGCAAAGAACGGCGAAACGTTTGGAAAAGTAAAATTCCACGGACCACGGAAAAAAGCCGGAAGAAAACACCGCATCTATATATGCCGGCCGTGAAAGCCTAAGAACTACAGTAGCCATCGCCATCTTTATAACCTTATGGTCGAATATTCTCATATAACCACGTCCAACTATTATTATTATTTATTTTTGCTATAATCATTTAGAGCTAGAGCTAGCGTCCCTTAGATAGTATTAAAGAAAAAAGTGATTCTCTATTACCAATAGTAGCCGAACTATTTTTTTTAAATAAATTATAGCCGCTTTAGATATAATAATTAAGAAATGGAACTTTTATGCGTTATCTACAGAGTTATTATTTATTAATCATCTAATAAAAAGAAGTATTCTCTACAGTTTTGGCTAGTAGTAAGTTCTCCTAATAAGGAAAATGTAGTGGGATGCCCCTTCCTAACGTGTAAAACGATGGAGCGAGCAGGTGGAAGGATAACGAAAAGGTTAACAATGTCCTCAAGTATTCGCCTCTTTCTAGTTAAAAAATCAACAATCACTAATAGTCGACAGATGAGGTTAAATTGTTCAAACAAACTCATAAATTTTCAACGACTGTCATTTTTTTTGTTGGGTCGACTTCCAAGAAGGTGCGGAGGTGCGAAGAGCTAAAATACCATGATAAATTTTTAACGCAAACTAATAAAATATGTCGGTTGAACCCGTCTGTTAAATGCTCCCGCTTCGGTCACGCTAAGTAATCAGGTATTAATTATATTTATATACATAAATAAAAATGGACGTGTGTGTACGCCTACACAGGGTGTTTTTGAAATAAGTAGTAGGCTTTGGAAGGTAACAACTAAAACAGTGTGGTTAAGGAACAAACGAATTTGTAAGAAAACTAGACGAAGTTGCGATCGGAAGCCGGCCCTGGGCGTGAACTGGTAACGGATAGAGAAGTTGCGATAACAGCCAAGGAACTACATCAATGAACAATGTAAACAGTGGCGATTGTGTAACGACTAATAAAGTAAATATCAAGAGCTTATTACTACGTTACAACATGTTATAATCTTTAGACGTCCATTATGATAACAGTTAATTAAATAATCACTTAATTTATAGTTTAAAGTACAGCTGGACATGATATTAAAAATACAAATTACAAAAAAAATATTCGTACAATACGAATGCTGCATCTGATGCTATGCGGCGTTGTAATGTCGTATTTTCCTGGGTGTTCCTACCAGGGCCGGACTTACCTTTGACTGTACTTTCGAATAGTGTTTCTACGTAGTAGTGTTTTCAGGCTACAAGAGTGAGGAAAATACGACGGTTAAAAGTGGCTGACCTACAGAATTTTCATATTTCCATCAACGTATTATAAAGAATGTCTAGAATCTTCTTCAATGTTTGAAATTTCTCGCGTTTAATGCGTGGGTGGATTTCCAAATCGGCGATCGGCCACCAAATACTAGTTAAAATATGTGAGACTGTACTAGAACGTTTTTATTTGTTTTTAACATTGCTCTTAGATAGAATGTTCTCGAATATCTACGAATGACCTCAAGTAGAATGTTCTAGAGTGAATTTAACGATTGAACCGAAAGAATCGAAATCATTCTGGAATATTAAAGGACTATAATGGAGCTGTGTTCTGACACTACATAATGGTATATTTATATATGTATATATTTCGACTGAATTGTCTCAAAAAAATGTTTGGAATTTCCTCTAATGCTTTCTCCAGTCTGGTGTACATTTGAGTTTGTGAATCCACCAGTAGAAATCCATCTCGAATAAGTGAGAATATAAACCCAGCGAAGCGATTATAGTTATCTATATTCCAATATCAGGGCTGTTTCATTCACGTCATGAATAATAAGGACAAATTTTAAACAAAATTTTGGTCTTTGAAAACACCAAATGCAGGTACCTCATCCCTGTCAATTTTCAGAATTTTCTAAAGTCATTTATCTTTTGTCCATTTTGTTATAAAAACAACTTTAACGCATTACCTTTCAAATGTTAAATAGATAAGTACTAAATTCAGTAGCATAAAAACTAAAATTTAGTTGGAGATCCAGGAAATAATCGCATATAATGAGCTGTTTTCATTTCCTCTCGGCAAAATGTACTAAACACAGGAGAGGAATTGAGAAGACCATTTGTGTAGAGCATCTACTAGTCCCATACAAATTTGGCATAAAATCCGGTAGCTTCAGTCTTCAACTTAAAAGTCATTAATAGCAAGGAAAAGAATGGTAACCGACGTAATGTTTCAAAAGTCATTGAATGAGAGTCCTCAGATAAGTACAGTTTTCCCCATAAACACTAGACACAACTTTTTTCATATGTCAGATGGCACATTAGTATATTGCTTTCTAATTAGCAACAAAGGACAAATAAAATTATTAATTGTAGTTACGTATGGAATGTGAATTCTGACACCAACACGTTAACAGCTACAATAATCAGTTGACTGTTTACAAAATAGAAGAAGTGCTAATCCTGGCATTTCTATTTGTTCTTAATGTCTTTAAGATTATTAATTATATTCCATAATATGAAAATCAGTATATTACCTGTTATAAATTTGAAACTTGTGAAACAGTAAAGTATCTATACAAAATTGTTTGCTTTTTTATCTAATAAAGTAGATATCCATATATTTAAATGGACCTTGTTGGAGCATACGTAATCCTAAAATGTAGCATCGTACTATAGATGGCATTATCTAATAATGTTAAAGTAGTCGCAAAATATATGTGTCTTATGGTATTCATTTTATTCGATTAAAATTGAATAATAAAGATATTTATTTATACTTATCTAATATTAAAGAGAATTGAGAGTTTTATGTGAAGACAATTATCTTCAACGGATCCAACAAGTAATTCTTTCGGTAAATGTTTCTTCATTCGCTAGATGATTAAAGTATGGGATAATTATTATTCGCCGTCCGTCCAGTAATTTATTTGTTAAATGCTTATTAGCGATTGAAAAGGAGGTGGTTATATTTGAATTGCTCAGATCTTAGGTCGAATGTGCTAATTGGTCACAAAGGGCATATTTTAACGTTATTTGCTCTCCTTATTATTGTCGTTCAACATCGGCTACAAGATGTGCTCTGTTTGCATTGACGGTTGACACCAGCTTGTCACATACTTTCAGATTTAGTCGCAGACGATTCATTAAAGGTGCAGCTTTATGTATTGGTATTAGAAAACGAGACCTGGAACTCAAATTGGTCACGTTCACGTTTTATGGGGTTACCGGAAACCTACATATTCACTGAAACTGAACGATTAGAAACTAAAAAACAATGAAACTAACTAAAGAAATAGGAAATCATTGGGGTGGTTATCTAGTTTTGATGGAATCGAGGATTAGAATTTCTATCCTGAACATTTTGAAAGGAATTTGAATATTAGCGCGGCAAAATTTACATCTTCGCAAAGCAGTTAATAATTTAGACAACAATTCCATGCACAATTACCATCTGCACGTATTCTTCAAACGTTTAAATCCACTATGGGATAAACTTATGAGATCACTTCGAAAGCACGCTATAGGAGAACTTACTCTTCAAAAATAGAATTACATTCCTGCAACGGTGATTTTGAAGCTATAGTGTTCTCAGTGATCGATAGATTACCTACAGGATGTCCTTAGACCTAAGGGACAGTCAACGGAACACTAATCCCTCTTCGACGTATTAGTAATTAAATTTAGTCTTCGTGGAATCTTAATGTCGCTTCATGACGTTTACTGTTAGTCTAAATACCAAATACCTAATGTACTTTTACTTCCACCGTTACCTACTTTTCTAGGAGACTTTCGCATTTTGAACTACACTCTATTGCTTTCTGTTAAATTGTTTTGCTTTCAATGTTTCCACGTTAGTGTATTTTGATAGGTCCTTATTGGAGAGGAACCTAAGGATTTACGCAAACCATAAAATATTACATCCTCATTATCATCATAGGGTCATCATAGTCTGAAGACTTCTTAAAGTCGCACCACCACTCATTCCTATCCTAGGTCAATTTCTGCATTACTCTAAAACTAGAATATCCCACATCCCGAACAGTGATCAAATCTAGATCTACCTCTTCTTCTTTTTACTTCTCTTTCTATCTCCAGCTATCTCCTTTTCTTTATTGATTTATTCCATATCACCCATTATTGTCCTATCCCTTTTAATTCCTCCTCATTCCTAACCTCTTCTACCGATCACAAATTCATCATTGACCTGTAACTCCACATATACCAAATGCTTCCAATCTTACCTACCATCAAGTCATCATCATCATAAGGTCGTCAGTCCTAAGACTGGTTGGACACGCACCTCCACTCTTTATCCTGAGCCAATCTTCGCATTTCCCTAATGCCTCTAATATGTTTCTGACTAGCCCTTCATGTCTGAGAAGGTGTCCTACGAACCTATATCGCCTATTTTTTATTGATTTCCATAGAGTTGTAGTGTTTTCGGTGGTTTTTGGTATTGCACAAATATGGCGCGATGAATTAAAAGAAAACACTAACATAGAATTGGTCTCTAAGATTTTTATAAACACACTAACAGGAACAAGACAATCACAAAACAATAACAACAACAATAATGATAATAACAATAAACGGTAAACTTGGGAGAAAAGAACTAGAAGAACTTGGAAGAACTAACTGATTTTTGAAATCGAAAATAAGGGTATTTATAGTTAATAATTGTTGAAGATAGACAAGGAGAAGGGTAGTTTAGAAGGAAGACAGAAGGTACAAGTACTGACGGTAAAAGTTCTCAGAAGTAAATAGAATGGAATGTTATTGCGGGAGAAACCAGATTGTTAGTAATTATAAGACAGGGTACATGCAGGTATAGGGGTTCCAGGTAATGAAGCATGCTCAAGAGTTTGAAATTAAAGTTGAAAGTAAAGATTTAGAAATAAAATAAATTTTAGAAAATAAAATTCAAATATTTAGAATATGTACAGATCGCTACACTATCTAACGCTGAGTCATTACATCTATCAGACATGTTGTACAGTGTAAGGAATTTCAAACATGCTTTCAGGTTTATATCATCATCACAAGTCGTCAGTTCTAAAACTGGTTGGACATACACCTCCAGTTTTTCCTATCCTGAGCTAATAAGAGAATTTACCTAAAACTAGAAAATCCCAAAATTCCGTAACTACTTGTGAACAGTAGGCTATCTAGGCCNAGAAACAAGTTGTAGTGAAAATTAATATAATATTGTAATTACTTTTTTCCTACAAACAGTTTGTCTCTCTACTACAACGTTAAACAATATGTACTGCAAATTCCTCTTAAAAATTACTTTTCATTATAGCATATCTGTATACAATAATTAAAAAAAAAATACAAAATTGTAGCATACTTGTTTACAACTGAAACGCAAATAAATATTCAATAAAAATTGCTACATTTTATCTTTATATTTTCTACAAAATTTATTTAATCTTATTACATTTTGTAATGAAATTCACAAACTTGTAAATATTTCATTCAAATTGTAAGGAATTCGTCTGAGCCTCTGTCGATATTTCTCCTACAATTTACCACTACAATTTTATAGTGAAATTTAAGTTTAGCGTTGGTTAACCTTACTACAAATTTAAGTTGCATTTTCTACAAAACCACCTCTACAACGTTATAATAATTTTTCTTACAGCATTTTTCTGAGTGTATGAGTACAATTAGTATAAATATCTGCTAAATGGTGATATACTGTCACATTCTCAATGTTAAGCATTGCATTTCCTCTTTACTATTTTTTCAGCTCCAAAGTCATCGAACAGAAGATCGAGAAAGCCCGGTTTGGACCGGAAACCTCGTCAAGCTTACAGTGCAAAACAGTTAGAAAGACTCGAAAGTGAGTTTAAAGTGGATAAATATTTGAGCGTGAGCAAACGGATGGAACTTTCGAAAGCTCTCAATCTGACCGAAGTCCAGATCAAGACGTGGTTTCAAAATCGAAGAACGAAATGGAAGAAACAGTTAACAACACGACTAAAAATGGCTCAGAGACAAGGTCTTTTTGCTCCGCACTATTTTTCTCCCGCTGCCCAACACTATTCTGCCCTTTTGTCGCCGTACTATCCTCCCATGGGTTGTCTTCTGGGTGTTCCCACTCTTGAAGAATCCACGGTACAACTCGCTTCCGAAAATTCTACTCAAAGTCTGTCCTCGGCAACGCACGCTTCAGAATAACATTTGTTCATGAAGTATTAAAATACATTTACTGTTATGCATAGGTGCCAAAGTTAGATTAATAAATCTTTAAGACAAACATTGCCCTTAGTTAAATCAAAAAATGTTTGATATTGTTTTATTTATAGAACTAAAAAATTGATATTGGTCTGCCTCTTTCTAGTTATAATTTTGATTGAGACTCTTAAACGTTTGATAAGCAAATACTTAACTCATTCAATGGGAGTTTCCCTATTCATTACACAATCATAAATTAAATCCTTTTTTTCTGTTAGAATATCAAATACAACTCCACGAAAATTACGTGTGAACTCTTTTACATTATTTCTTTTGGTAGTAAAAAGGCATTTTTAAATTTGACAAGACGTTGATGACATTGGTATGATTAGCGCCTCTCATTTCTGTCTAAATTCAAGGTGGACCTCTGTTCGATGCTCCTCCTTTCCTACTGGAAAAGCATCCGGCAAGTGGCGCCTCTAACTTTACTTGTGTGAAAACATGATGAAATTTTCCTCACTTTAAACGGAAAGCATTTCTGTTCTCCTAATACGTCGAGGCGGAGCGTGTCTAAAGCTAAAATGGAGCCAAGCAGATATAATTAACAGTAATTAATGAATGATAACAAAAAATAACTTAAATAGTATTCTTCCAAATAAGAAGGCATAGAATTTTCCTGAAATTTTTAATCCTCAAGGAAGAAGGGTTTTAAAAAACATTGACGAATCCCGCTTTTCTTTCATTATATCACTCATGCATGTAACAGACGTTTATTCAGAAACTATTGTCATTCTGTACTTCTACAATCGTAGTACAAAAAAGCAATATTTTCTGATTTTCTTATCAAAATCGATCGTAGAGGAAAACAAAAGATGTGACTCTACCAAGAATGTGCTGCCACCTAACTGCTGATTCGAACTAGTACCAAGTTCAATCAGAGATAGGTGTCGCTGAATGTAGATTTTCCAAGAAAATTATATTCGTCCTTTGGGAACTGAATAAAAACAATAAGTAAACAAATTAAAGGTAAGTATTTATTCTCTAATGACAACAGCATACGTCTATATGTTTAAAATATCACAAGAAGGGCACTCATTTTCATCTTAATGGAACTTCTATTCTGATAATGAAGAGCATCAAACATTCAATATTTTCACTTTTTAACATTTCACACTCATCATTAAAGCTATTTTGTTTCAAATTGTTCATTTACTTAGGTTTTGTCCTAAATGCGTGTCAAAGACCATTGACGACCATATTTTCTAATTTTTTCTATCCCTAGGGAACAATACCCTTTTTTTTTATACAAACTATGACCTTTTTTGTACCTCTGGCAATGTGAGTACAAAATTTTAGGACGATTGATAATCGCATTTTTAATATTAGTTAGAATTATTTAGGATGAATGAATAAACTTCTCTTTTTCAATTTACTAGATACCTGCATGTATTAATACAAACCAACAACACAAATTCCGTTTCTTTTGTTTGAGGTATCTTATCACACACATACAAATCTGTAATATGAACTTGACATTGACCTTCACAAAAACTGGACGAAGACGTTAACGAACCTAGCAGGCATTTGTCACAGCTTTGTTTCGACATGCTATTATTGTGGGTCTATAAATAGATTATCTGCGATAAACTACAGAATAGTTTTAACCTTTTATTATGATCCTTTAAATGCTTAAAATATTGCTAAACAAAGTGGTCATTTAATTCTCAAAAGTTATAGGACGAGTATCTAATATTAATAGTATAACATAATGCTACGTAACAAAATACAACAAATTTATTTGATGTAAAAACCCCAAAATTATTTATTTTAATGAGATTTTTTCTAATTATTTACATTCTATTACATTTTGTCTATCGTATACTCAATAAACTGTTTTTAGTACTTGCTATTTGTTGTATAATGGTAAATACGGATCTAAAACTATCCACGGTAT